TGACATCACACCCAGCTAATTTTTGTATTTTTAGTAGAGACAGGGTTTCACCATGTTGGCCAGGCTGGTCTTGAACTCCTAACCTCAAGTGATCCACCCACCTCGGCCTCCCAAAGTGCTGATATTACAGGCATGAGCCACCGTGCCCAGCCAACTGTTGTTTACTTTGAATGACTATATTACAATATATGTATTTATTTGGATCTGTTTATGACTTACAGTTCATTTTTTGTCCAGTCTAATATTGATGGATATTCTGGTGGTTTGTTCTCGCACTAGGTACTGCTGTGAGCATTTTATGTCTCCAGCTCACACAGGAAAGTATTTCTCTATGCTGCCTGCCTAGTGGTAGAATTCTAAGCCGGAAATATATAAGGGAACATGAAATTCTTTTCTAAATTTCTTGTGCCATTTATAGTGTTGCCAGTTCCACATTATCACCAATGCTTGGCACTGGCAGACTTGCTAACTTTTTAATCTGGTAGGTATAAAATTAGTGTCTCATTTGGCATTTCTCAGATCACTAATGAGACTGAGGATCTTCTCCCAGTTTTGACATTCTTTATCTTTTGGAGAATAATTCTTTGTTATATATACTACAAATATCTTCTCTCTGTTTTTGGCTTGTCTTTTCATTTTCTTATGGTGACTTTTGATGAAAGAAGCATATAAATAGTGTTGAATTTACCAGTGTTTTCCTAGCACATTTTGTGCTTATGTAAGACCATATGATATCATCTGACAGAGAGTCCGGCTTTTTTTTGGGTTTTGTTTTGTTTTTGAGACAGTGTCTTGCACTGTCACCTAGGCTGGAGTGCAATGGTGTGATCTTGGCTCACTGCAACCTCCACCTCCCAGGTTCATGCTATTCTCCCGCCTCAGCCTCCCAAGTAGCTGGGATTACAGGTGCACACCACCACACCTGGCTAATTTTTTGTATTTTTAGTAGAGATGGGGTTTCACTATGTTGGCCAGACTAGTCTTGAACTTCTGACCTTGTGATCCACCCAGCTCCACCTCCCAAAGTGCTGGGATTACATGATAATGTGAGCCACTGCGCCTGGCCTCAGCATTCTTTTTCCTCTAGATAGCCAGTTGCTAAGAATGTTCTTGCATCTTGGCCCTCCTGGTCTAGAGTGCCACCCCTGTTGTCTCTCAAGTCTCCTCTACTTCTGAGTGTTGGGGCTTTCTATTCTCATTGATTTGCCTATATGTGTCCACTGCTGAGAACTCATCTTGCAGGATGTTTCTGTCCCTGCTGTGAGCCCTGGGCTCCTAAGTCTGTTAGGTAAAGAGCTTGATGTAATGCATTGTCCTGACCTGCAGTGCAGTTTTGGAGAAATGTGGGTTCTGTGTTAACACTTGTTTTCTGACAGTGGATCTGCGGTGAGAACTGTTTGCAAACACTGGATTACACAGTTATCTAACCTGCAGGACTTGTCAGAGGTTTGAAAAGCCCCTTCCTAGAGGAGGTATCCGGGGTGCAGCAGCACCCAAACTTTTTAGCCTATGGAATCTTCTGTTCCTAGAACATCTCTTAGGACCAGCCTTCCGTGGGATTCATTTTGTGCAAGGCCAGCATGGAGGTGACAGCTCTGGCCTTGAAGCTGAAAAACATGGGCTGCAATCTATTTGGACCTCACTTGAGTGTTGAATCTGATGGCCCCTTAATTATAAATGTTAAAATTCTCATCCAGGTGGCAGTTCCCTAAGATCCGTGCACATGCACATGCACGTGTTCATACACCTGCTGAGAGGTCCGGGTAAGTCTGTGAGTGGGGAGTCTTCCTTGATGTCCAGCTCTCATCCTTCCCTGCCTCTGGCCTCGTTCCTCTGGACTGGACATTCATGCAGAAGCTCCCTGATGTGATCTCACTGGGCGACCAATTACTAAAGGGGCTGTGACACGTTTCAATGAATTTCCTGGTCCCAGGTAAAGGAGTTAGATGGTCTGTTTGTTCCTAATACTTTCCTTTATAGATTATTCTGAGCATGAATTTGCTTTTTGTTTTAGTTTTAGCCAAAGGTCCAGGTGTTCATCTTTCTCCATTCACCATTTTCAGTAGTGCATGCCTCTTGCCCCTTTATTATTCTAGTTGTACAGACCTAAAGAAAGTATCATCCACTAAAATACTGTTACCATTTTGTGTTCTAAACCAAGCTGCTATTAGAGTTGGGTTCAAATACAGATTGACATTAAGAAAAGTAGAAACTATAAGTGGTGAGGCATGTTTAGCAGAATTCAGGATGTTCTCTCTGAGCTTCTGGGACCACACATTCTCCTGGGCTTTATTTTTTTAAATTTTGAGACAGGGTCTTGCTCTGTCACCCAGGCTGGAGTGCAGTGGTGCAACCTCTGCTTCCCAGGCTCAAGTGATCCTCTTACCTCAGCCTCGCGAATAGCTGGGACTTCAGGCATGCATCACCAGATGTGGCTAATTTTTGTGTTTTTTGTAGAGATGAGGTTTTGCGATGTTGCCCAGGCTGGTCTCGGATTTCTGGGCTCAAGCGATCTGCTGGCCTGGGCCTCCCAAAGTGTTGGGATGACAGGCATGAGCCACTGCACCTGGCTGCTCCAGTCCCTGTTGATCTCCTCTCTCTACTTCACAATGCTGTGAGTCAGGAATGCAGGCATGGCTTGGCTGAGTGATTCTTCTGTTCCAGATGGCACTGATGGAGGTCACTCGGTGGCATTCATCTGACAGATGGGCTGGTCTGTCTGGTCCAAGCTGGTCTGGTGCCAAGGATGGCTGGAAGGTGGACTCAGCTGGTCCTGTGAGCTAGAGCACAGCATGGCCACATGATCCAGCCTTGATGTCAAATGGTGTCCCTTCCATCACATTCTTTTGGTTGAAGCAGTCACAAGCCCACCTAGATACACGAACCATATCCCTCTGTGGGAGAGGTGGAAAAGCGCATGTGGCCACGTCTGAAAACACGTTGGGAGTTCAGTAGGCCTTGGTCACAGGCCATCTTCTTCATGTATGCTCACCCTGGATGACCTCATTTAGACCTTGGCTTTAACTAACATCTCTCCACTGTGCCTCCCAAATGTATGTCTCCACCCCAGATGTAACCCAAACTCCAGATTCTATGTTTAACGGGCTACAGGATATTTCCATCTGATTTACAGACATTTCAAACTTCACATGATCAAACCACTCTTGATTTTGACCAGCTCCATTCCCCACTTTCCTTGTCTCAGGAAATGGCACCAGCATCCACCCAGCAAGTGAAGCTCTTTACTCCGTTTTTCCCTCAACTGGGCATCCAACCCGTCAGCAAGACTTGGCAACTTTCCCTCCAAAGTATAAAGCTCAAACTTGCCTACTTTTCTCCATATCCATTCCCACGTCCACACTGCCAGCATCTTCCGTAGGTTTACTACAGTCGCTTGTGGAGTGACTTTCCAGCCTCCCCGTATTCTCCTCTCCCATCCATCCTCCACGGCAACAGTGATCTTTCTTTTTTTTTTTTTTTTTTTTTTTTGAGACGGAGTTTCGCTCTTATTACCCAGGCTGGAGTGCAATGGCGCGATCTCGGCTCATCACAACCTCCGCCTCCTGGGTTCAGGCAATTCTCCTGCCTCAGCCTCCTAAGTAGCTGGGATTACAGGCACGCGCCACCACGCCCAGCTAGTTTTTTTGTATTTTTAGTAGAGACGGGGTTTCACCATGTTGACCAGGATGGTCTCGATCTCGACCTCGTGATCCACCCACCTCGACCTCCCAAAGTGCTGGGATTACAGGCTTGAGCCACCGCGCCCGGCCAACAGTGATCTTTCAAATATAAATCAGATCTTGCCATGCCAGAGCCCACAGTGAACCCTCAGTGACACTGTTTCTCTTCAAGGAAAATGAAGCTCCTTGCTGTGGCCTTTGAGGCCTTATGTGATCTGGCCCCTGCTCACTCCTTCAAGCTCACCTCCCATCGCTCAGATTCCCATTCCAACCACAGGCCTCTTCCCTGCTCACCTCTCCTGGACACACCTTCTAGGAATTTTAATGACTGGTTCATTCTTCTTCAAATTTCAGTTCACAAAGCTCCTCAACTGCTTAATTAAAGTACTGTCCTTTTAATGCCACCGCATTGGGCCATTTATTTCCTTCTTAGAAATGATCACAGTGTGGTGGTTCATGCCTGTAATCCCAGCACTTTGGGAGGCCGAGGCGGGTAGATCACGAGTTCAGAAGATCGAGACCATCCTGGCCAACATGGTGAAACCCCATGTAAAAATAAAAAATTAGCTGGGCATGGTGACGTGAGTCTGTAATTCCAGCTCCTCAGGAGGCTGAAGCAGGAAAATTGCTTGAATCCAGGTGGCAGAGGTTGCAGTGAGCTGAGATCGCACCACTGCACTCCAGCCTGGGCGACAGAGTGAGACCTTGTCTCTACTAAAAATACAAAAAATTAGCCTGGTGTGGTGGTATACGCCTGTAATCCCAGTTACTTGGGAGGCTGAGACAGGAGAATCACGTGAACCTGGGAGGTGGAGGTTGCAGTGAGCTGAGATTGCGCCACTGCACTGTAGCCTGCGCAAGAAGAGCGAAACTCTGTCGAAGAAAGAAAGAGAAAGAAAGAAAAAGGAAGAGAGAAAGAAAAAGAGAAGGAAAGAAAGAAAGAAAGGAAGGAAGGAAAGGTCAGGAGGAAATGAGGGAAGGAGGGAGGAAGGAAAAAAAGAGAGAAAAAAAGAAAAAGAAGAATCGCAGTCTATAATCATATTAATTGAATGTTTTCCCTAACTTTTCTTGTGGAATCTCTCTCATCTTCTTTTGATAGACTGCATCCAGTGCAATGCCGCGGTCTTATGGGCTACATAAGGAGAGAAACGCGGAAAAGGATGAGAGAAAAAAAGCGTGGATGGATTTGCCCCCTCTTTTTTTCCATTTTTTCAAATACAGCTTTTGTTTCTACATGAGAGAAAATCTTGCGTTGAGAGAGGTCTTAAACTGTGTCCAGTAAGTGACAAAAGCAAAAGCAAAAGCAAAACCAGGAAACTGAGATGCCCTTGCTTAGAGGTTTTTATTTACTGTGACAGTTGCTAAAAACCAAATATTTCCCTACTCAATTTCTTGTAGCTAAATCAAGGTTTGCTGTATTTCCAGTAAAAACGGAAAGCTTTCCCGATTCCATGATCTGCCCATAATGTCTTGGCCACTACTAAGGGTACAGGCATGGAACATCCCTTTTTCTCTCCAGCTTATTGGAGGGTAGGTGGACAAATGTTGACATGGCCACGTTTGTGCACTACCTAGGAAATGGCGAAGAATGTTTTTTGAGACAGGATTTATTACTGGCTCAAGAGGATTACTGAGAAGTGTTCTACTCGTCATGAAATTCACAGAAACGAGACTAAGACTGAAACGGAACGTTTTCATCTGGAGCACATTATTCTCTAACAGTGGTGCTTCATCCGTTTGACTTCTGTGAGCAAAAACTATTCTGTAGAAGTAACTCTTCCAGATAGTTGGAAATGTTCAAAAACGCTTTCAAATTTTTAAGCCATTTTATAAAATGTAAATATTCCTCAGCATACCACCCAGGTTCTTTCTTTTTCAAATGGGACCTCTCAGATTTGTTTGCACATCAGAATCACCTAGGAGTTTGGAAGGCCAGGAGGTCCCCAGGTCTTGCTTCCTGAAGACGTGATGGGTGGCCCCAGGATGCGGTGTGGGCATTTGGAGTTTTAAATGCTCCCAGGTGGTTGGATTGGGCTGCAAGTCCAGATCATTTCCTTACTGAATAAGGTCAGGTCTGCGACATTTCTTTTTTCACTCCTGAGGCTACCTGGTGTTCAAGGCTTACGCACCCTGACTGATGACTGGCCCCAGCTGGCCCCGAGTCGTAAGACGTGACTGTGAGTGGAGGCTGAGAGGAGGGACAGATCCTCAAGGATTCAGAGCAGATTCTGTGCTGTGTTTGCCATTGAGTATACCCGCTCTTCCAAGCCTGATAGCAGGTTTTTTTTTTTTTTTTTTTTTGACATAAGAGAACTATCTGATGAGAAGAATGAATACATGGGGTAAATAAGATTGTTTACATGGTGTAAATGCTGGTTCACACATTTGAAAGTCAAGCTATCTTTTGATAACTGTACAATCAGGTGAGCTGGAAGTATTGATGAGATGGCTGAAGACAGAAGCCCTAGAAAGCCTATTTTTGCTATAAGCGAAGTTTACGGCATAAAAATAAGACATCTCCAGGCAATGTCCCAAGTGAGTGTTTGTGTCTTCAAAGATGTCTGTGCAAATATATCCACAGAGACCCTCTGGAATTCCATGATCTCAAGGAAGCACTGATCGTTAAGAGCAGGAAGGGACCCGCTCACTTTAGGAGTGACTTTGACCTACCTTATTGCAGTTAAAAAAAATAAAATTCTCATGGTGTACTAATGCGACATCACAGATATGGTGTGTCTTCAGTTACAAAATGCTCTGTTTGAATTATATACATTTTAGAAAACTTATGTACAGATGAATAATTTAAAATTGATTGTAAGTGGTGTTTGTGGTTTTGATAGAGCTGGCCATGATGTCCAAATGTAATAATAAACCTGTAGGAAAGTCAGATCCACTTTTTTTTTTTGAGTCAGAGTCTTGCTCTGTCACCCAGGCTGGAGCACAGTGGTGTAATACAGGCTTACTGCAATGTCCACCTCCTAGGTTCAAATGATTCTCGTGCCTTAGCAGCCAGAGTAGCTGGGATTACAGGCTTATGCCACCATTCCCAGCTAATTTTTTTTGTATTTTTAGTAGAAACGGGTTTCGCCATGTTGGCCAGCCTGGTCTTGAACTCCTGCCCTTGAGTGATCCACCACCTTGAACCCCAATGTGCTGGGATTACAGGTGTGGGCCACCACACCCAGCTGAGATCCACTTTCATCCTCATAGTAGCTTCTGACTCCTTTTCCAGTGCACCAAGACACCACAGAGGGATGTCTGCACAGACTTCTAATGTGGTTTGGGGTTGCAAACTGCAGTTGGGGCAACTTTTTGTAGAGAGGTCTGGTCCTGGACCCACCATGAGAGACCTTAGAGAAAGGGCCCCTTTGGGAGTCCCAAACAAAGGTCTTCTTTCTTTATAGCCAGCCATCCTATTAAGATTTAGAGAGTGGAAGGGGAACACAGAAATTGCATATTCACTATGACTCAAAAAAAGAGAATTTTGCACCAGTGATATTCAAATATGTCATCTAAGGCACTTCAAAACTCCTTAAACGGATCTAAAAGTATTTGTCCTCTAATATTTTAGTGTCTCTTCAGCCAAAAACCAAATTGTTTAAATTTGGTTCCATAAGAATTCTGGTTGTGTTTCAGCTCTCAATGTGCCCTAATTCTAGGACTTTCCTGGAATGAAGGACGCAGTTATCCTCGAGACTGGCTTTCATAGCTCGCCCCCTTTGATGACGAGGAGGCAGGCGCGGGGAGGAAGGGCGGCTCAGGAGGGTGTGCATTCTCTAGAGGGAGTCGTCTTCCTGCGCACCTGCCTCATCTTTAGACATTCAAGCAGTTGACAGGCTGAGCACTTCTGGCTTAAGCTTTTGAAACAGCGGCAGAGTTTCCGCCTGTAAATAGTATCTGTAAAACCATGAGCGGCTGGGAAGCCCACGTCTCAGGCCACGGGGGCTGCGTCTCCCGTCTTCAGGCGGCGCAGAACAAAAATCCCCAGGGCCACCAGGGGGATGCACATGGTGGAGGAGGCCACGAGCAGCCCGATGGCAGCCAGTGCGTAGGCCGGGTAGTCTTTGGTCACAAGCTGGCCCTGAAAGGAGAGACTGTCAGCGGAGAACGCCTGCTGAGAGCACTGCCCCGGGCCTCAGGGCACCACCGTGGTGGGGAGACGGCATGGCGTGGGCAGAGAGCACGTGGGGCCAGCGGCCTCACTCCCGGGCCCCCGGCTCTGCAATTCACTAGGAAGTGTGCCAGGAGCCTCACCGCCCTCACCTTTCTCTGCCGTAAACTAGGAATCATAGGACCTACTTGAACCAATGGGCATAGAGCTGTGGTTTGGAGATACCCGTAAAGAATAACCATGGGAATAATCAAGCACCTTACGTCTAAGGCAACTTTCAGGGCACCTAAAATGTAGGGGGCTACTCTTAGCCCAGAATGGAACTTCCCGTGAAGGTAGCAATGTTCTGTATCAGTGGTGGCTAAGAGGGGAGTGCTGCCCAGGAGGCGGGAGCTAGCACCTTTGCAGGGGGAGTCTTTCTCAGCTTCCAGGGGACAGGTGGATGGGGAAGCTCTGGAGCAATGCCTTCCTCTCGCCCCACTGCAGCACAGACCTAAAAACTCACAGCCCAGCTCCTCTGTCCTGGGCTATTTCTAAAATACCTCAGTCATGTTTCCATGTTATGACAAAAAAACCTACCCACATCATGGAAATAGTTTCCTGATTTCGGAGAAGTAATGCCCATGCTTCTGAGTGACCATGGGGGCCCAGCACCAGCCCTACAGAGACGGCACATACCTGGGAGGCCTCCCAGGCCTGGTATTTCAGGGTCCCCGTGAGGATGTAGTCACTCAGGTAGAAGACAAAGAGGCCGACGATCAGCAGGGGGCTCACGCCGGCCCACATCACTTTCCAGTACCAGCTCAGAGCTCGGCCGGTCATGGCCTTAAGATCACTTTCAAATCTATTTGGAAAACAGGGAGAGGAAGTCTGGATTATCCATGCTGCAGAGGTGAGGGCGTCCAGCTTGCCTGTCCCTATTCACAAAAGAACATATGTTCTAGGCAGTAACTGATGTCTCAGGATGGCCACTGGGCTCCTCTGTGACATCTTCTTGAGAGATGATGCTGTGGTGGGGAGGGGAGAAGAGCTGAGGCTGCCCGGGAGAGGTGGCAGAGCAAGCACCCCGCAGACAGGTGGACGTCAGAAGACACCTTCCCAGTGCCTGCCTTCAGATGAAGGCTGCTGGCATAGCCCAGAGGGCAGCTTCCAGGAAGAGTGGGCACAGGCAGCAGGGAAGGGACATTTGTCAGAATGGTCATCAATGAAAGAGCCTCTCAGGACGCTTTGCTCACCTGCCCTGCTGCCAATCAGTGACTCCCTTGCCCAACAGAAATGCCGCAGAGCAGAATCACCTGGTCCCTTGAAACCTGAGCAGGTTTTCTGGGACAGAAGAAGAGCCAACTTCGGACTGAGGGACCGCAGCCCTGGCCTGTGGGCGCTGATCTAGAGTGGCCAGGGCAGTGAGGCCCAAAGGCGTTGCCCGCAGCCACCATCACCGTCTCCATCATGCCGGCAGCTCTCTCCTTTCCCTCGTCTTTACTAAGTCTACATTAAGCAGCGGCCAGTTTATCATAGACTCCACAGGCTCAGTATGTGTTATTTTTTAATACATACGCACAGTGTATAAAGTATCTTTGGCATTTTGGGAGACGTTGGCCCATGGAATCTCCCCATTTGACAAAGAAGGAACCAAGGTCCAGGGCTGTGATGCCATCTGCTTCAGAGGCTTGGAAAAGACCAGGCCTAGAAGCCGGCTTGGCCTCCCGCCTCCAGTCCAGAGCCTTCAAGCCTGCTCCCTGCCTCGGGAGAGGCAGCCTTGGCGGGAGGGGCTGCGGTGGTAGTGGGTGTGACGTCACCAGCTGCAGCCACAGCCCCTCCCTGTCTGGGACCAGCTGCAGGTCCTGGGTGTCCATGCGAGGCTGTGTGGAGACCACCACTGCCCTTTGCTGCTGCTGCTGTAGCTGGACTCCAGGCCCCAGGCCATGAAGGCTCACGTATATGACGTGAAAACCTGGGGCTCTCAAAGTCGAGCAGGTGAAAAAGTGTTGGGGGTCCTCTTGTCCCTTTACCTCATAGCCCCCCACTTTCGTGGATGGAGAAAGTTGGGAAGCGCTGGCTGCAGAAAAGCCCCAGGACACTGCTGCCGGGTGGTCACTAGATGGCGGTGTCCCCTGAGCAAGCAAAGCACTCTCCTCCTGCCACTCACACTGTCAGTCCACCTGCAGCGTCTCCAAGGCGTGTTTACCCATCTCCCATCACCAGCCCCTTTTTGATGGACTTGTGCCCCTTACCCATTCAGTGACCTCCAGTGGGCTCTAGGCTCTGTTCCTCTCTCTCCAACCTCTTTTTATCCTGAAACACACACCCTCTCAGTGACCAATCTCTTTCTCTCTCTAGACTGGCATTTCCTAGGTGACCAGGGATTTTTCCAGTTTTAGCACGGAAAGTTCCATGTCCCATAAAACGCCTCCGTCCTGGGGAAACAGGGAGAATCGGTCCCCCTAACACTCGTGTCCTCAAAATGTTAGTAGCTGGGGGTGGGAGTGGGGTGAGAGGAGGGTGAAAAGGCATTCCTTGACCAAGTAAGTCTGGAAATGCTGCAATTCTAATCCTGTCTTTGGGATCCACAACTCTCTTTAAGACTCTGAGAAGTCCCACAGGAAAGACATCGGATTCGGCATTAACTTACGTCCTGAATGAATGGCTCCTGGGAGATCCCTCAGCACGGCACGGGGCCCTGGCCTTTGCAGGGACACAGCAGGAACACTGCTTCAGGGGTGCCTGCCTCGCAGTGTTGACAGTGTCTCCCTTCCCACCCCGAACGAGGGTGGAGATGAAAAAGACTCGGGAAGCGGGCAGAGAACAATGTGGCACAGCCTCCTCGCCCAAACCAGGCTCCCACTTGAGCAGCGCTGCCCAAACTGTGATGTGCCTCAGGTCCCCTGGACATATTGTGAAGACACAGAATCTGATTCAGCAGGACAGGGTGGGCCTAAGCTTCTGCAGTCCCAACGAGCGCCTTGCTGCTCCTGCTCTGGGGATCATACTTGGGGTAGCAAAGCTCTCTAGACCAGTGGTTCTTAAAGCATGGGCACCAGCCTCACCTGGGAACCTGCGAGAAATGTAAATTCCTGGCCCTCCCCTGGACCTGCCTGATCAGAACCTTGGGTGTGAGTCCCGCAGCCATGTTTGACCAGCCCGGGGGGACTCTGAGGCACACTCAGGTTGGGAGGCTGCCCTGGACCTGTGGCTCCTGCCCCAGCTGCACATTCCATCACCCGGGGAGAGTGAAAACGTTCCAGTCCTGTGCTGTGCGCCAGGACTGAGAACCTCACTGACTACACTTTCAATCTGCCAGATTTTCTAAGGTATAAGTTATCAACTGGACTTTGGTCAGGGTTCTTGGAAAATACTGATGTTGGCCAATGATCAGAGCGTCCAGTCCCTGGTGGTACAATTCCCTACCCCAGTAAGCTGTGGCGGTCCAGCAGGGTCAACCCAAAACATCCTATGATGCAAAGCAAAAGTCCAGAGAATAGAAAGATATTCGCTGAAGCAAACTGAGGGTGGAATTCAGGCAGAGCATTAGCTGAGATCTGCAGGCAAAGAACAAACGTTGAGTAATGATGCCAAGCTTAAAGAGGGGAAGAGGCACATCCAGAAATAGCTGTTTCCTTCGGGGTATGGCCTCTGTGGCTGTGTCTTCCCTGTGCAGCTGGGGGTCCCGGGCCTCCTCACCTCCTCAGCCCGTACACGTAGCACACGGCGATGGTCTCCACCAGCACGATGAGCAGCAGGGACAGCGTGGCCGCGTAGTCATTGAATATGTCAAACCAGTAGTTCCCGGCCTCCGTGGTGAACACCATGCCGATGGCACAGCTGATGAGGCACACCAGACCTGGGGGCCACAGACCAGCTGCTCACCGGCCCGAGACCCCACCTACTGCTAACCAGTTCTCTACGGACAGTGGGGTCATCAGCCCTCAGGGGACTTTGGCTGATTGGTTCATCCACATGGGTTGGGAGAGCTGTCGTGGTTCGGACTCTCTGAAGGTGTGTGCTGTGGGGGGGGGGGGGGAGCAGGGGACACAGCGGTGTCCCAAAGCGTGTCGGCAGGAGTCACTGATGTTGACTCACTGAGCTGCCCTGCAGGGGTGGCAGAGCTTCAGGCTCAATGAACAAGCAGATGCACTGGGCACTGCCCTCCCAGGATCCTGCTCAGGCTGTGGGTCTGCAATGATAACCCTCTCTGTTTATCCCAACAACTCAGCCCTGGAGCTTATGAGAAGTGTATCGGGGGAAGAGGCTTGAATATGGGGTGGCCCCGTAAGGACTTCCTGTTCCTATAGAGGACTTGCATCCACCCAGAAGGGGGTGGGTATGGAAGAGACAAATATCCACCCAGATCCTCCCACGTACCAGGCACTTGCAGTGCATTGGATGCTTAGGCCTCCGGAGCCCCCTTTCACAGATGGGAAAGCAAGGCTCAGAGATGTCTAAGGCTCCCCCAACATCCCATAGCATGCCAGTGGCAGTGTGAAGATTCAGAACCATGCCCTTTAGCCTCCAGAACCTGGGCTTTTATCCCAGGCCCCTCCAGCTGCCTCCCCTGGGGACCCCATGCATGTCTGAATCTAGAGCCCACACCTGCCCTGCCAGCCACTGAGTCCTCCTGCCATCCCGACGAGGACACACAAGGAGAAAGGGGCCATGCGCTGGCCGAGGGCTACGGGCATACCTAGTGTTGGCTACAGAGACCAGGCCCGAGGAGGCGGGCTACGTGCTGCAGGGCTCTGAAGAGGCGGGGGCAATCCAACTGGGGTGGTCAGGGCTTGAAGGAGATGGGCTGGGAGCTGGATTTGATTTGTCCTGCATGTGGATGAATGGTGTCTTCAAAGGCAGAGGTGTGGGCCACAGGGCCTTCAAGGCACTGCCTGGTTGGTGGAGCCGATGGGCCAGGGAGTGAAACCATGAGAGATGTAATTGGGAAAGCCAGCTCAATTCCTAAGAACTGAAATGTCCATCAACAGCAGAATGGATAAAGAAACTGTGGTATGTGATCTTACAATGGATTCTTATATAGGCAGAAAAAGGGGCAGGCGATCACCGCCCAAAACATGAGTGGACCTCACAGGTAGATTTTGAGTGAATACAAGAGACACAGAGTATGTACAATAGGGCTTCATTTATATGAAATTCAAGAACAGGAAGGCCGGGTGTGATGGCTCATGCCTATAATCTTTGGGAGGCTGAGGCAGGTGGATCACTTGAGGTCAGGAGTTCAAGACCAGCCTGGCCAACATGGGGAAGTCCCATCTCTACTAAAAATACAAAAATTAGCCAGGCATCATGGCATGCATCTGTAATCCCAGCTATTCAGGAGACTGAGGCATGAGAATAGCTTGAGCCTTGGAGCTGGAGGTTGCAGTGAGCCACGATCACACCACTGCACTCCAGCCTGGGTGACAGAATGAGACTTTTTCTCTAGAAAAAAACAAGAAAAGAAAAGCCAGAAGAGAAGTGACCTGCAGGGGTGCATACTGCCTGAGAAGGGGTGTAAAGGAGCTGACTGGGGTATGGAAAATGTTCTGTTTCTTGACCCAGGTGATGGTTACTTGGGTGGATACATATGTAAAATCCACTGAGTCTGTACTTAACAATTGTACACTTTATAATGGTCATACTTCAGGCTGGGTGCAGTGGCTCACACCTATAATCCCAGCACTTTGGGAGGCCAAGACAGGCAGATCACCTGAGGTCAGGAGTTTAAGACCAGCCTGGCCAACATGGTGAAACCCTGTTTCTATCAAAAATACAAAAATTAGCCAGTTGTCATCGTGTGCACCTGTAGTCCCAGCTACTCGGGAGGCTGAGGCAGGAGAATCGCTCAGACCCAGGAGGCAGAGGTGGCAGTGAGCTGAGGTCACGCTACTGCACTCCAGTCTGGTGACAGAGCAAGACTCTGTCTCAAACAAAAACCATATGTGTGTGTGTGTGTGTGTGTGTGTGTGTACAGATAGATAGATAGATAGATAGATATAGATAGATAGATAGATAGATAGATAATGAGACACACTTCAGTGAAAATGAACAAAGACAAAAGCAAGTTCTCTCCTAGCCTGTAGAACTTTGAATGTCAGGTTGGGGAGTCTGGCTTTCTCCAAAGTTGGGGTGGCTCCTTCATTTCCCTGCTATGTGGAAAGTGGGACACGCAGGGTCAATCATGTGGCCCGGGTCCTGGGTTGTGAGAAGACGTGGCAGGACTGTGGTGAGGTGGCTGCAGCCTCCTGTAGCCACCTCAACCAGCACACAACCCCTGAGGGAATTCTCCCCTGCTCACCCTCACGCTCTGGCCCTCCTGACCCCTGCCACCTCCACTGGCTGACCCGCTGACCTGAGATGGCCTCCTTGGGCAGGTGGCTAGAGATGATCTTGCTGTCAGTCAGAGGGGTGAGGATGGCCGCTGTGTTCCCCAGCATGCTCCCAATGCCCAGCATCAGCAGCATGAAGAAGTAGAGCACCGACCACAGCTGCGACACCTCCATGTTTTTAATGGCTTCTGTGTAGACGATGAAAGCCAGGCCAGTGCCCTGGACCGCCTGCCCAGAGTGAGAAGACACCAGTTACATGCATGAGGGACTTACAGTTTTATTCACACACTCAGTGCTAAGCAACGTGCGGGACCTTGGAAGTGGCCATGAGAAGCCACATTCTAAGGCTGGAGCTTCCATCTGCAGACCAGCCCCTCACACGCAGCTGGACTGAAAGAAATGGGAGCTCCTGGGAGCTCGTATATGCAAATCACGTGACAATTTGCAGCCAGCCTCCAACACTGAGCTCCCCTCTCCTGCCCCAACTTATGTAAATTCTGGATGAAAGGTAATAAAACAATGGAGAATTTCTGCTTCTAATGTGATGACTGACCAGGTGTCGTGAAACTTCCATGGCTGGGACCTGAGGAGGGAGGGCGGGGCTAGGGCAGCAGGAAGCAGAATTGTGGGGAGCCAGCTTGGTCAGCAGACAACCAGGAGGGGCAGGTGCTCAGCGGTCAGGTCCCTGTGCTGGTAATGCTGTTGTGGAGATACTAAACTACGGAAACGGAGGCTGGAACTCCTGCTTAAAAACAAATCCCCCAAGGGTTCACAAGAGGTAATATGTTGTGCATACTCCCTGGCTACCCATAGAAGAAGCAAAAACAAGCCCTCCCTGGGTAGAATCCCCCCCAGTTTAGACCCACAAGACTCCCAGAGATTAAGATTAAGCAAAGTGGACTGGGAGCGGTGGCTTACACCTGTAATCCCGGCACTTTGGGAGGCCAAGGCGGATGGATCACGAGGTCAAGAGATTGAGACCATCCTGGTCAACATGGTGAAACCCCATCTCTACTAAAAATACAAAAAAATCAGCTGGGCATGGCGGCACGTGCCTGTAAGCCCAGCTACTCAGGAGGCTGAGGCAGGAGAATTGCCTGAACCCAGGAGGCAGAGGTTGCGGTGAGCCAAGATCACGCCATTGCACTCCAGCCTGGGTAACAACAGTGAAACTCCATCTCAAAAAAAAAAAAAAGATTAAGCAAAGTGCTCATAAACAGGGATTTACAAACCCACAAGGAGAGAAGTCACTATGAGTGAAGAACTAGCAAAAATAAGAAATAAGATTTAGAGCACCCCTCCCCAAGGGTAGCAGAGGTTGGACTGTCAGATTCAGAACTGTGTTCTGAATTGGACTGAACTGTGTCCACCCAATATTTGAATGTTGAAACCCTAGCTCCCAGTGTGACCGTATCTGGAGACAGGGCCTTTAGGAGGTAATTCAGGTTAAATGGAGTTAGAATCAAAAGGCTCAACTGACAGTTACAAAGAGTGAAAGAAAATTTCGACAGCAGCCACGGAAGCCTGAATCACACGGCAAACATCTTCAAAGTGTTGAGAGAAAATACCTGTTAATCTGGAATTTTCTATTCAGAGGGAAAATGTCTTTAAAAGATAGAGGTCAATTATAGAACAAAATTTCAGAGAACTGCTCTAAATGAACGTCTTGTAAGGAAAAACCTTTGGAGACACTAGGATGCAAGAAAGAATGGTGAACAGATAAAATGGCAAACATGTAGGTAAATACAAGCACCGTATCAAGTAACAATAATGTCCAACGTATGGGCTTAAAGAGACAGAACTAGACAACAATCACTTAAAATGGGAGAGATAAAATGAAAGTAAAGCCCTTGTCAATTTTGGGAAGGAGGTCAAGATAGCTTTCTTGAAAAAGACAGAAAGCAGCTCTTTTTCTCATGATCTTTGGTCTTAGGCCTCTGCAATCTAGACATGGCATGAATATATTTTTATTTGTACACTCTAGGCCTGCGTGAGGTTGGGCTTCCTGGATCTATGGGTTCGTGTTTCTTATCAGTTTTAGAAAATTTGTAACTTTGTCTCATAATCATTGTCTTTGACTCTCTCATTTTTCTCCTTTTGGAACTTCATGCAGACCTGTTAGACCTTATCATCCTGTCCTACAGGTCTCTTAACCTCTCTTCTATTTTTCCCATCTTATCCTTTTCTGTTTTATTGTTGCTTCATTTCTGGATATACCTTTCAGTTCACTAACTCTCTTTTCAGCTGCATCTAATCTGGTATTTAACTGTCAATTGAGCCTTTTAATTCAATAACTGTATTTTTTTATGTAGACGTTATTTTTTTTCAAGCTTACTTGCCCATCCCAATAGTTTGATACATGTTTATCTTTGTAATGTTATCCTTTGTTTCTTTAAACATTTCTTACGTAACTGTTTCAGCGGTGGCCACAGGCAGGAGAAGAGGAGCAGTCCAGCTTAGCAGGAAGGAGTGTTTTACACTGTTCAATGTTAATGTCTGAACTCAAAATGACAAGGTGTTTACAACTGATCATTCTGAGTGGTATATATATGGGTGTTTGTTGTATTATTCTCTCTACTTTCCTCTATTTTAAAAGCTTAGAAAGACAAAAGAAAAAGAAAGGACAGAGAGGTCCCCCAGGAAGTTGATCACAACTAGCTTTCTCGGGCAGCCCCTCAGGAGAGTGGTGGTAAAGCCTCTCTTCTCCTTGGAGTTGCAGGAAAAGTAATTCGGGATCTTTCTTCATTTTTATGGACCTCGCCTATCTTCCAAGTTGGCAGCTCACCAAGGTCCCCACACGTGGGTGGAGAGAAGCCAGCCCTCGACTTTGTCTGGGCACCTTACCGTGTCTAGCTCCGACTCCAAGCTGCAGTTTTTAATGTGCGGGAACACCTCGCTGTATTTGCTTGGGTAGGCAGATGCAAGGTAGCTCTTCACCTGCTCCAGGTTGCTGGCCGTCAGAAAGCCATCTTCAAGGTCAAAAGTGTTGGTCAGCAGCAGACTCACCCTGCAGAGCAGACCATCGGATCGACCTTCACTGATCAGAAAGGCAGCTGTCGCCAAAGCCTCCCGTCAGCCTCTTCTTCTCTGATTAGGTGAGGAAAGGGAATCTGTTGCTTGGTGATCTTTTAAAGGGCAGGATAATTTTGAATGGCACTGAAGCCTCAGATACGAACAGTGATGACCACAGGCAGCAAACGCACAAAGCTAGGCTATTTTAACATCGGACCAACACAGTCCAGCAGACGTTTCTGTGCCGATGAAAATATTCTATCTGTGCTGTCCAGTTTGGTACTCACTGGCCACATATGGCGACGGACCACTTGAAGGTGGACACTGAGCAACTGATTTAAAGTAACATGGACATGTACTCAAATGTGAATTAAGTTATTCACATATGAATTAAGTAGCATTGATTTAAATTTAAATGGTAAATAGCCACTTGTGGCTAGTGACTACCAAACTGGATGGCATACCTCCTGGATGACGTCTTTGTATTTTGGGCAAGGGGCCACAGAAAGCGAATTCTGTCATCTCTGTGGCTCAGCTAGGGACTTCTTGGTTACTTTTGAGGTGGGGGAAATGGGGTAGAAGAAACGAAGTTTGATTGTCGTATGTTCCATTATGCTAAGTGTTTGCAACATGTTAGTTAAAGTGCCCTCATCCCTACCGGGCAGGTGTTGACATGCCCCAGGCCCCCCAGCACACTGGTGGTGGTGTGGGTGTCTGAATGTGAGCCCTGAATTGAGGATTCCAAAGCTGGTACACTTTGCCCCAGCCCTTGCCCAGGTGACCCTTCAGCTCAGAGCTCTGGGAGGCCTGGGACTCGGTGGGACAGCCTGGGCTTACTTCCTTAAGCAGTTTTCATAGTTGAAGGTGGCCTTGAAGCCGTAGATGGAGAAGGTGACGATGCTGGCAAATATGGAGGTGGAGCTGTTGATGAGGGACACGATGATGGCATGCTTCTGGCAGTTGCTGGATGGTTCATTGTAGCTGGCGAAGGCGATCAGGCTGCCGAAGCCCAGGCCAAGCGAGAAGAAGATCTGGGTGGCTGCGTTGATCCAGGCCTTGGGGTTGGCCAGCTGCTCCATCTGGAAGGCCAGCAGGGACAGGGCTGATGAGCACTTAGACCCGCAATCAGAGAGTGGCCCAGGGAGGGGAAGGAGCTCGCCTACAGCACGAAGCTATCACAGGCAGGCCTTGGGCTGGAGCCCAGCTCTCCTCGCTCCATCCACTCTCTGGCCGATGAAATGCCCAGCTCAAGCCGCACACCTCCCATGACTAAGGTGCTGCAGAGGATACAGGTGCTATGTGGGGGATGTAAGGTGATACATATCCTCCACAGCCCCTCAGCCACAGGAGGCATGTAACTGGAAGCAGCCATGCTCACCGCTGCTCACCGGGGCGGAGGTATGCAATGGAATACTGCCAGGTAAAATAAAACACACGTGGAGCCCTGATTCATAAGCAGGTACTGCATAGGTCTGGGCATTCGGAGATGAAGCGGGGGTGGCCTGGCATCTCGACACTGACATCAGGGGGCGTTTGGAATGGGGATGGAGGGGAGGATGACCATCATTTTGTTTCCTGGGGCTAGATTTGCTAAATGAAGAAGCTGCCCCATCCCAAAGGCAAAAGCACACCCTCCATGGATGAACCTGGGCTGGGGGCATGCATGGAAAGTGAGGGTGTTGGGAGGGATGGCAGGAAACCCTGTAGGAAGACGGGCACATGGACTCGTGTGAGCAGGCAAGCAAGATGACCGGAGCGGTGCTCACGGTAAAAAACTCAGTCCAGTCTGGAAGGGGCTAGAGGGGAGGCGAAGGGGCAGCAGCTGGGGGGCAGCGAGGGTGGAGAGAGGCTGACGGAAAGACTTAACGCTCCAGAACGAACAGGGAGTGGGGACGAGCTGGCTGAGGAGGTGATCCAGCAACTGCGGGTCCTCCACGCTCCCGCCACACCCTGGTGGGCTCACATCAGCTTCCCAGGGTACAGCGTTGGCCCACGCTCCATCTTTCCCTCTTCCCACCCATCCTGGAAGGTGGCAGGATGAGTGAGGGGCGCCCTTAGGGCCCTTCCGCTTCGGCCCATACCTTGGGAGTGAACATGTACATGAGACCATTGGTGGCTCCGTGGAGTGTGAGGCCCCGGACAAGGTAGATGATCAGCACGCAGTAGGGCAGTGACGCAGTGAAATACACCACCTGCGGGCGTCAGAGGGCCGTGTCAGCCTCCTGGAGGTGGGGTCCACAGGGCAAACCCACGCCCCACGGAATACTGCCGCCTCTGGGACATTCAGGCTGCACCGCCCAGCTGCTGACAGCTGGAAAAGGCATGGAGATTGTTGGTCCTACACAGGCTCTGGGTTAAAGCTGGAGAACTGGGCTGGTGGGATGTGGCTGCTCACAGCTGTGACCATCAAGACATTTCTTATTCAGTAGAGAAGACACAAACAGGCACCAAGCCTCTGCCTTCCACCCTCCCTTCAACCTGACCTTATTCAAGAACAGATCTGAGGCTACCCACAAAAGCACATCAGTCACATTAACATGCATGAAAAAAAATATGGACAATCCAGTCATGAGCCCACAGGAAAAAGCAGCCCACAGAATCTGTGCGTGAGTCTGTACCCAGTTTCTGAGCCAGATTCGGCTCTGAGCTTCCTGGTAGCCACACAAAGCAGAATATTAAAAGAAAAAAAAAATCTGGAGCTTGGAGAAGGACAGGTTTCCCCAGGATTGGGGCCTGAGAGCAGATTGGTTATGAGGGCTCATGCAGGAAAGCAATGACTTGTAGAGGGCAGTGTCCCCATAATCAATACAATAGGAAATCCCTGATTTCTATGGCAGCGCTCTAGAAAGGGTTCACTTCCTTGGGCTTTAACACTACGCCTGAATGACCGTTTTTGTCCACCCGATCTTTCTCCACTGACATGCATCGTAAGTTTAATAATGTTTTGTTAATATCTTTGGTGTTCATAATGGCTTTAGTAGTCATCTGTCATGCTCTGGGTGATTCTTACTGTTACAAAGCCATGGAATACAGACCTTCAAGTGCACGTGTGTCCAGCCAGGAATGGAATTTTTTCTGTAAATCAGCTCACATATGTACCAGAACCGAATTTGTAAAGTAAATAAATATTTGGCAAGATTGTCTTTTGTGTAAGAGTTCCCTTAAGGTTTGAGTCTCTCTGTGAGAAATAATGGCTGATGAGTTCAGGTGGGCCTGATTCACACTTGGCCCTCCCTTCCCACTGAGGTGTGGCGTCAGCTTCTTTCCATTTCCAAGGCTGCCACGTGGGCACTCTGTGCCTGTCACCCAGGGGATGGCAGGTGGAATGTGGGGTGTGTCTTTTATCATTGCTTCTTAGCTGAGGTCATTTTAACTTGAGTAATAAATCCACCCAAGATTATAAGAAAAGAAATCAGGTAAGAGATAGAGATGGATAATGAAAAGACAGGGCACTCACCAAGGAACAAGAGCAGGGAGAGGTGACCAGCATTCATCACAACTGGCACTAAGCAGGCCCTTAGGGCCAACCCTGGAATTTCCCTCCTTTCTGTCAGGTGAGCAAATTTCCTGGAGGCTCATGGAGTCCCTACCAAGATGGCTTACTTCTCCCCAAGTGGGCAGAGTTGCTGGACACATGATCCAGCCTAACCTCTTAGAAGAAACCAATTCTGACCACTCTACAGAGATTCTGGCAGGAAACAAGGGTGATTCCAACAGAGGATGCCAGGAAATGGCCCATAGTCTGTGACAAGATTAGCTCCCTATATATAGAGCTGTTGGGGCACTTTTGCCATGGAGAAACGTGTCACTAAAGCAGAGAAAACAGATAAGAATAAATACATTTTGATGGCATGACATGGTCTAATGTAACACATTTCTGAGTGATTGGGAAAAGGAATGGTCTCTACTCTCCATATCTGCAGATGTTGTCTTCAGATCTTTGGATCACATTAATAATAATCTGGCAAAGATAAATTACCGAAACATTCATTCTTTATGAGCATGACAGTATGACCAGGCTCTACGATGGGGCTGAGCGGGCTGCTGCAGGTCCTAAGCTCTCCCAGGGAAAGAGCACCTGTGCTGACTCCGCCCTCTCCTTAGCCATGGCACAGGGGCTTTGGGGACTAAGAAGCTGGCCATCATGGGGTCTTGGAAACCAAAATAAAATGTCCTACCAGGCATGGTACGGGAGTTGTCCCATGGGCCCTGGAATTCCATGGGTAGCTCTGGTTTAAAGCCTAAGAAATACATGAGGAGTGGGGTGCAGCTGGAGCAGGCAACTCAGGTAGTCGGAGGCTGAGGACAGGTGGGTGCCTAGGACTTTCAGCAGGTGAAAGTTGCAATTTATTACATCACTAACAGCATAGATAGAGCTATGTTGCTACCAAACCAAGACAATGGGAAGTCTTAGGGTGAGGCTGGGCTCTGCCTGCACCAGCTGTGCCTTTGGGCAGGTCAATTTACCTCTCTAAGCTTCAAGTAAGTGGGATCATGAAATCTACCATGAAAGGCTGTGGCCAGAACGAGACACTGTGGGTGCCCAAGCCATAGTGGGTCTACTGCGAGAAGGGACAGTGACTGAGACAGGGCGTATGAGGCTCCAGGACATGGGCAGAAGCAGGTGTCAGGCAGGTGGTCAGTGACGGGAATACTGAACACAGACCTTCTATGTGGAGCAGACTAGAGCTGAAGGAACATGCGGCCCCAGTGAAAGTGTGAGCCTCGGGACCCTCCAAGAAAGGATTGTGGAGATCAAGCCCGACAGCTCTGGTGGGAGATGGGCAGCAGCTTAGAACAAAGGGTTTCCAACTCAGCTGCACATCAGAATCACCTGGCAGGCTTTTAACCTCTGTGTCCCGCACCCCCAGTGGTCAGGGCACACCCCAGGCTGATTACTGTAGAACTCTGGGGCAGGACTAAAATATGAGATTTTTAAAGCTCTCCAGAAAATACCAATGTGCAGCTGAGCTGGCAAGCCAGTGGGCAGGGTGTCTTGGGGTCATGTGCAGTCTTAAAGAAAAGCAAAATCACTGTCTGGTTACATGGGTGGTATGGATCTGGGGCTAGCTTGTACAGAAAAACGTGTGTGTGTGTGTGTGTGTGTGTGTGTGTGTGTGTGTGTGTAAGAGAAAGTCCTTGTTTTGAGATTTAGGGTTACAACTTTAACCACCTATGGCCCTCTCTAGAGTCATCTCGTAGGTGACTTGTGCCAGTAACACCATCTGTGCCGTCTGCCCCACAATAGCTACTGCCTCTCTACTGCAGAGGGCACCCCCTTGGCATTGCCCAGGGCTGGAGACAGAGGCAGCTGCCCCTCGGCACACCCTCCCACCCGCCAGGAGCCCCGGGCATCCATGCCTCACTGTCCCACCTTGCCAGTGGACTCGGTGCCACGCAGGATGCACAGGTACACCACCAGCCAGGCCAGGAGGAGGCAGAGCGCCGGCTCCCACTGCACGCTCCCATTCTCCTGGATGGACGGCGAGATATTGAGGGTTTTCCGGTACCAGAAGTACTGCGTGGAGGACGCCTTCTCGCACTCCTCATCATAGCCTGTGCGGTTACCGTTCAGTGGGCAGACAGACCACGGCAGGGGATCCTGTGGGACCAAAACGAGTGTTATCCAGAGAGGTGAGGGCTGAGGACAAAGGCTGCGGCAGTGGTGATGGAGGTGGCCCTGGGCGGAGGCTCTTGGAAGAGAAGGGTGCTGGTCCACAAAGGGCAGGTGGCTGGAGCCCCCGAAGGCAGACCAGGAGTCGGAGAGTTAGTTGTGAGTCACCGGTGAGGCAGGAAAGGGTCGGAGGAGGGGGCTCTACCCTCGCTGCAGTTCTGCAGGTGTTCCTTAAGGACCGCTGAACTCCGTGGTGGGTCTCAGAGACCGAACAGCAAATGGACAACGGCCGGGCCAGCTATGATGATGGAATTCTGACCCACAACCTGTGCACAATCAGCTCAGGCACTCAAGCCACACCCTCTGCAGCACTAGTCCAGATTGCACAGGACTTGGTCAATGACTGAGACAGGAAAACCGTATTTTTTGCCGACTCAGAACTAACCAGAGAAAGCCAAATACACTCCCCTATAATCAATCACGTAGGATGCGCCACTTCTGATTTGCCAGCTCACAGCTCCCTGCATGCCAGCAGCCTCCTGTGGGGCTCACCTGGAGCCCTTTCTTTTCTCACTAACAAGCTTTCCCTCTCCCCTGCCTGCCTTGGAGTCCCTGCCAAATGCAAGCGATGCTGCTGCCTCCCTTGCTGTAGCAAGCCCTAAATAAACAGCCTCTGCTTGTTCTCACTTGGCTGGTCTTTGTTGATTTCTACAAGGCCCTGGCAAGTCCTGGGATGCATACGTCTCAGGTTCTGTGCTCACTAAGGGGTGGTGGCAAATGGCATTTCCTGCAACGCACATTGGGTTTGGAAGCCCCCACAGCTGTCTTGCCTGTCTGAGCCCGAGAGAACCTGGTACTAGTGACTTCTTTGAGCTTGAGTCAAACTAACCTGAAGCACCTAGACTCCTGGACTTTGCAGGGTGGAGCCAGGAAGACTCTCATCTGCTTCAGCTGCTCTGAATTGGACTGTCACTTATGAACAAAGGAGCCTCCGTGATACATGCATTGTGACCATAACCCAAGGCCAAGTGGTAAACGGTGGTGCTGAGATGGCAGGGAGGGCAGAAAATGATGGCTTGGGGCCTAGGATACTCTAGCCCTGCTCTTTGAAGACCAGCACCAGTGATCAGTTTTGCACATATCTGGGTTCTATGAGCTCAGGTTTCATCAGACAAAAATGCACCATTAATGGAAGCAAGTCTGACCACCTCACTAGGCTCAATCCCATATTTCACAGGAAACAGAACCAACGCCCAGGGGTATCACCCGATGGGTCACGGCTACTGTGCCAGTTGGCAGCTGGAGCCCAGGTCTGTGCACCCAGACAGTGCTTGGGACTGTGCTGGTGGGGACCTCCATGCCCACCCCTGCAACACCTCCCCAGAGCCTCCCTTGCCTACTGGAATGTGTGAGCTGGTTTCTTGCTTTGGCCCATATTGTGCTCAAAGCTGGCCACCAACAGTCCTTTCCCTCCCGATATGTACATATCTCTCATCCGGAAGTGGCCTCTCCTGCCTCACCCTGTGAGTCCGGGCTGGCCTCTGATGCATGCTGACTAAGAGAACATGGTAAAGAGATGCTGTGTGAGTGTCTTCCAGCCCGCAGCTTCAGAGCCCTGTAGCTGGCCTCTCACCCACTTGGAGACATCCAGGCTAGCTTCCTGAATGATGCGAGTGCAGGGAGAGGGAGGCCATGTGGAGGGAACTGAGGTGCCCAGGGGCAGCCAGCACCAAGTTCCAGGCAGGTGAGAGGGGTCCTAGACCTGAAGCCCAGTTGAGGTGCCCCGGCTGACACCCGCTTGGGCCATTTACAGCCTGTGTGGGACTGTGTTCACTGGTCACAGCCAGCCCAGGCCTGCTTCCCAAGCTTGGCCACACGACTAAGTCACCCAGGGATGATGCCCAGGCGGCATCCCTAGTGACTCGATTTCATCTGTTTGGGGAAGGGCCTGGTCATTGGATTTGTCAAGCTCCCTGCCCCGCAACCACAACTTCATCTCCCAGTATGCAGCCAGGGTGAAGCTTTAGAGTATAGGAGAACTTGTTAAATGGGTCAGTTCCCAGTCTGACCTCCCTCACCCACCTCTGAACCAGCAGGTGAGGACAGGGATCACTGCGTCTGCGCGGATAACAGCCCAGGTGCTCCTGCATGAGGCTGGAAAGCCTGGCCAGGGAGTAAGTGGACAGGAGCACAGACCCCGGGGCCAGGTGCCTGAGTCCAGCTCTGCCAGCAGCTCCTCGGCTCCCCTCTGCTCGGGTGCTCAGTGCACTCAGCCTTGGGGAGTGGCTGTGATGATCACATAAGTGAACGCTTCTAAAGTGCTGGGACCTCTGTCTGGCCCAGAGCACCTGTAAGTGAATGTCTGCAGCCACTATGCCTCTCATTATTATGGATCACAGAGGAGGGCTTCAAAGTCGAGGGACTAAGGGATAAGTCCACAGGCCTATGAAGGATGGAATGAATGAATATTTAAGTGATTTTCAGGAATTGCTGGCCCCCATACTTCTGAGTATTAGAAAAAGGTGTCCCATTCTTGAGGCACTTTATTTTTGCTTTTGGCAGATGATCAAATTATTCTAATTTTGTTAGGACAAGACATATTGCTTCCACTTTCGGAAACTTGTCTTAATAAGCATACCAATCTATAATGCCTGCAATGTGTATGGCAAGCCCTTAGTTGGCGGTACTGTTGCGCAGTGCACAACCTGCCCGACTATACATGGCAGCCCTGCACAGAAGTCAGGAAACAGTCACCAGCCTATAGAGTAAGAAGGGTTGCCCTGTTTCCACCGAGAAGGCTGGGGAGAGGCAGAGTTGTGGCCAGAGTTCATGAAACTCTAGGTTGAACCAGGGAAAGAAGGAAGGACTGGATCTAAGCTCAGGGTGCATCTTTCTTGCCGGAGATATGCGCAATGGGGCAGGCTGGGTGGAGCGCACTGTGAAGTCAGAGTGGGGTGTGTCAAATTAGGATTACTGAAGTCATTCACCCAAGCATTCCTCAGGGCCCCACAGAGTCAAGCCTATGCCCAAGCACCCCAGGGGCAAACCCAGTTCAGTCCATAGTCCATGCCAGCCCTGTCTTGCTTGTGGACCCTGGGAACAGGCATGTCCCATGAAGGCCTGGCTCAGGGGCAAAGGGTAAGGCTTTGGCCTCGTTCGTTCCTGCCTCCTCCTCTGTCCCCATCTGGGAAGAAGCCAAGATGAAGGTGGTTCCTGGAAGCGGGTGGGGGTACAGGGGGATGGCGTTCCTGAGGGTGAAACGGCAGGAGCCAGGGAACAGACATGAGCATGGGCAGTGGAGAGGAAAACTCCTCTTGTCCTGGATACAACACCAGCTCTGGGCGGAATCGGAGTTGCGGCTTCTCTACCATTTCCAGCTCCTTCCACGTTTTCTACAGAGTGTCAGCTGTAGTTATCATCAGAAATGTGTAGTTTAAAATGTTTAGGAATGGCCCTATTGTGTGGCAGGGTGACAATGGTCCTGCTAAGGGAACTTGGGGGTTTGCAGAGAAAAGGAGAGGCTCAGGCTGGAGTCAGAAACCTGGAAGCAGAGGTGACCCTGCAGAAGGCGGGAGAAGGGGACAGGGAGGAGGAGGACAGGCCATCGCTGTCTTGCTGGATGGAGGGAATCCCTCCCTGTCAGTCTTCTCCATAGATTTCCTCCTGGGCTCACTTTGCAGTGGTTCTTAATAGCGTGTGTGTGTGTGTGTGTGTGTGTGTGTGTGTGTGTGTGTGTGTGTGTCGGGGAGGCGGGGGCGGTCACATCCATCAGAGAGAATCCACTGAAAGCCATGGGCCTGCTCTCCAGAAACACGCACGCTCACACCAGCACACTCTCCCCTACAGTGTAAGGGGCCCGGGGAGCCCGATTCAGAAGCCCTCCACATGATTTGGGGTGCGTGGCTTCCCCCAGGCTGCTCAGCTTGCCCCACATCTCCTCCCCCGAGTGGGTGGCCCTGCTTTCCTCTCCCTTTCTCGCCCCCCCGCCTTTTCTGGCCCTGTTCGGGCCCCAGCTCACCTGGAAGGAGTGGAAGAGGTACCAGAAGGCCCACGCGTTGATGACATTGTAGTACATGGCGAGGAAGAAGGAGACCACCACGCTGGCGACCCCTGAGAGGAAGCAGAGGGCCGTGCTGAGGACGGAGCCGGGCCCAGCGTGTGCTCCCAGGACGCACCTGCAGCGACTGCGATTGCCCCGGGAGCAGCGAGACCTCCCTCACCAGGTTTGTGTGGTTGTATTAAACGAGACCAGGCACCTGTGATCACTTCGTACAGGTGATTTCTTTCTCTCCAGCCTTCCTCCTCATCTTCTAGGACAGGAGGCTGATGGCGTGTTTTTGAGATCTAACTGCCAGGTACTGTGTTAAGTAAGTACTTTATGTGCCTTTGGACCTTGCAACAGTATTATCTTCATTTCACAGAGGAGAACACTGAGCCTGCCCAAGACTACCCAGCTGTTAAGTGGCAGAACTGGATCCACAGCCTCATGCTGTGAGAAGCACTGTTCCTGTCAAGTGCCACCTTGTGCCAGATGTACAGTTACGCTCCCTCCTTGGCTCACCTGCAGTTGAGTCACCTGGTGGCCGGAAGCAGGGTGTGAAGGGGTGGGGAGGGGGCTGCCCGTAATTCTGTTGGGCCTGCACAAAACCCAGGGTGGGGCCTGAGAGCAGAGAGAGGGGTGGGAGCCAGCAGGGATCTGGGGCTGGCCCACATCAGCCCTTGAGAAGCAGCGCCCCTCCCCTCCCCAACCCCACGTGCTGGGACATTCAGTAGCAGAAACTGGCCATAGTGCGCACATTTACCCCACAGGCATCAGCAAACGCTACAAATTAGGGCTTCCTCCCCACTGCTACTCCCCTCCAAGAGCTGGCTGTTAAATATTCACCAGCATCCCCTGGCTGGCACAGATACCTGGTATCTTTCCTATGATGCAGCAGGTGCCTCTGAGAAGTCCTCTGTGATTGATTATTCAGGCAGATTGTAAAACCACACACTTCCGTGTTAAAAATTAATAGCCACTTAAAACAAGGAGGCAGCTGGGGTTTGGAGATGATTTGTGAGAACACTGGACACATTTCTTCTGCATCTGTGACCAGGCCATGTGCAAGCTTCCACCCTCCCTGCTCCTGAAACCTGCCTTCCTTTCTGGGGCAGGAGGGGTCAGCATCACAGCTATGGCCACGCTTAGCCAGGCTTCCTCCTGCGTGCAGAGGCAGCCCTGGGTCATAAGCAATGTGCAGGGTAGGTTGAGGATGTTCTGGAAGTGCCTGGGACCCCAGCTCAAGTTCACTCAGGAAGCATGAGATGAAGCAGTCCCCTTCTGCCGTCCATGCGGGCCTCAGCCTCTACACCCTGGAGACATTAATGGCACTCCACAACCCCTCAGTGGTGTAAAGAAGATTAAATGAGCTCATGCATGTATATCATATAGGCTGATTTCGAGCACGTAGTAGATGCTTACTAAAAGAGAGAGCTGTTATTTAGCAGGAAGCAGTTGGGTGAGTTTCCAGAATGGGTATTAGCTAGAACTTGGAGTTACAGCTCTTTCCCTTTTACAGGCGACTAAGCTGAGGTCCAGTGAAGAGAAGCAGGGTGGCATCTGTTCCCCAGGGGGCATGCATCCTCCCTCTCTCACTGCCCTGTGGGTAGGAAACCCAGCTCCTCTCAGCCCACATTCTACGGCATCCTGCCAGGCCATTTGTTCACCCTGGGCAAGGGCTCTCTCTTGGGCCTTGTGCTTGCCCATTGATGCAGCAGCTTTGCTGATGAGTTCCCACCCGCGCCCCCATGCTGTCCAGGTCTCTGGGTGAGAGAGAACTGGAGGGGCCCCACATACCGACACCACTTAGGTACGGGCTGATGGTCCTAAAGGCGCCGATGCTGCCCTGCCGCATGCGCTGCCCCACAGCCAGTTCCAGGTACAAGAGCGGCATTCCTTCCACGATAAGCATGATGATGTAGGGGACCAGGAAACTACCTGCGGGCATCCAGAGCTGAGAGCCAGGCCACCACCAGAGGGCTTTTCTCTACCGCCACCCAACCTCTGTGCAAACATCCTTCCACCCTCCTGTCTTGTCCACTTGTCCATGCATCCTCCTACGTTTCCATCATCCATCCTCCTCTTTCTACTCATCCTTCATCCTTCTGTCTTTCATTCCACATGTGCATCCATCCCTCCTGCTGCCATTCCTCTCATCTGTGTGCCATTCATTCATTTACTTTCCATCCTTCCATCCATCCATCCTTCCATCCAACCATCCATTTATCCAACCATTCTTCCATCTATCTTCCGTCCTTCCATCTATCTGTTCTACATCCATCCATCCTTCCTTCCATCTGCACTTCCATTCCTTCCATTTATCCATCCACATTTCCATCCTTTCATCTATCCTTCCTACCATCCATCCATCCTTCCATGCATTCTTCCATCCTTCCATCTATCCTTTCATCCTTTTATCTTCTTACTCATCCACCTGTCTGTTCGTCCATCCATCCATGGATGACATATAGTCACGTAAGTTGTTAAACTCTTCAAATTCATCCTCCCCAGGAGGCAAACTGCCACTGCCCCAAGCTGCTTGCGTGCCTTTCTCAATGCCTCCACTGTCCCATCCCTTCTGCCAAACCCCACTTTTCATCTTCTATTTCAGCACTAATGATTGATCAGGGCCAACACAATTGCATTGTTAAATATTTGAACACCATGCCTGGATCCATGCATCCAGCTGTCCACCTCTGTGCACTTCCTTTGGGCTTTGTGCACAGACCCGATGGTGCTCCACATGAGGCAGTGTATGAAACAGACACTTAAAACACTTACTCTGGGCCAGGCCCTAACTGGTGTGGAATGGGAGAGCAGCAACCTGCCCTTGAGATTCCCTGCTGTTGGTGATGGTGGGGAGCCAGGAAGTATGAATTTTGCCAGGGTGAACCTAACAAAATGTCCAGTGGGAAAAGAGGGCAGGACTTCCGATCAAATAAAACCCAGACACTACAACTGCAGAGATTAAGAGCTGGTTACAGAGCAAACTGGATCCTCAGTTGTTAAGGTAAACAACAAAATAACTATACTTACATGAACATCTAATATTTACTAAAAATGTCTCCAATGTATACACATGCTGTCCTGTACTCCACTCTTCTGACCCTAAAGCACTCCTCAAGCAGTCGCCCAATCACAGACCTTTGCATCACCCCTTAAAGAGCTGCATGACATTCCGCTCTGAAAATGAGCCCAGAATATTGAAATACTGGTTAGATACCAATTGAGTGTCTAATCAATTGTTAGACACTCAGGCTGTTTCCCGTTTTCAGCCATCCTACACAAAGCTGTGAAAAAAAGCCTGGTCCACTTGTTTGTGTATTTCCTTGGGATGCAAATCCCAGAAGTGGAATGGCTGAGGCAAAGACCAGGCAGAGCCCCCATGGCCATGCCACAGAAAGAAAGGCACAAGCCGCCTGCATGAGAGAATGAGCGCCCACACCACCAGGCGGGCCGAGTTCCTAGCTTCGTCCTGCTCATGTGGGGGCCTAGAACAAATCCTGCCCTCTCATGTCCAGACTCTGCCATAACTCCTCTAGGCCAGGCGGCCTTCCTTCCCTTCAGAACCTTGTCTCAGCACCTTCTGAGTTTCCTCTCAATATCGAAGGAGTCCAAGAAGTCATCAGTTGCTCTCACTTATGAAATATCTGATAATGACTTTGGAGCTACATTCAGACCTTCAGTGGTTATAAGATAATCTTGTTTTCACCCAGGGTGTTAAATAGTAACTAGTGAAGCCCTGGTAAGGTCCAGGGATGACTGTTTCTCTGACAGGGCCTGACTGCCCAGTGCCCATGGGCAGGGTGGAAATCCAAAACCTGATGCCAAGATGGGAGCATGAGGGTTGTCTGGCCCTAGGCATCAATCATTTCTATCTCTCCTGCCCCAAACATTCCAAGAAACACATAATCCAGGTGAGTTTGCTCTGCAATAAATTTTTCAAAAAGTGATGCTAGAACAGTTAAACATCCGTATGCAGAAAAATGAAACTCAACCCATATCTCACATTTATACCTAAAAAATTGCAGAACGAATCATAGACCTATATGTACAACCAAAAGCTATAAAACTTATGCAAGAAAACAGGAGAAAATCTTTATGACCTTGAGTTAGGCAAAGATTTCTTAAATACAATGTTAAAAGCACTCTCTGTGGGAGAAAATATTGATAAGCTGGATTTCATTACTTCTTTGTGAAAGACACTGTTAAGAGAATAAAAACACAAACTATAGACTGGGAGAAAACTTGTGAAAAACACGCATCTTAAGAAAAACTTTGTATCAAGAATATATAAAGGAGTCTCAAAACCCAATAAGAAAAAGAACACTTTCAAAAAATGTGAAAAAAACATGAATAGGCATTTTCCCAAAGAATACCTGTCTTAGTCTGTGCTGCTGTAACAGAATGCCAGAGAGTGGATAATTTATAAAGAACAGAAATTTATTGGCTCATGGTTCTGGAGGCTGGGAAGTCCAAGAGCATGGTGCTAGCATCTGGAGAGGGCCTTCTTACTGCATCAACCCTTGGCAGAAGGTGGGAGGGCAAGAGGGAGCAAGAGGGGGCTGAACTGCCTTTTATAACAAACCCACTCTCTCAATAATGAAACCACTCCTGAGATAATGATATTAATCCATTCATGAGGCCAGACTCCTCATGACCCAATCACCTCTTAATGGTCCCTCCTCTCAACCTTGTTACCCTGGAGATTAAGTTTTCAACACATGAGCTTTGGAGGACATATTCAAACCATGGTAGGATGATTCCATTTATATGACGTTCTGGAAAAGGCAAATTATAGGGACAGAAAACAGGTCAGTGGTGGCCAGGAATAGGGGAGTAGGAAGGAGATGACTACAAGGGGCATGAGTTTGGTGGTGGTTGTGATGGTTATACTGCGTGCCAACTTGATTGGATTGAGGGATGCAAAGTATTGATCCTGGGTGTGTCTGTGAGGGTGTTGCCAAAGGAGATTAACATTTGAGTCAGTGCGCTGGGGAAGGCAGACCCCCCCTTAATCTGCATAGGCACAATCTAATCAGCTGCCAGTGAATATAAAGCAGGCAGAAAAAAGTGAAAAGGTGAGCCTGGCCTAGCCAACCAGCCTAAATCTTTCTCCCATGCTGGATGCTTCCTGCCCTCAAACATTAAACTCCAAGTTCTTCAGTTTTGAGGCTCAGACTGGCTCTCCTTGCTCCTCAAGTGTGCAGACAGCCTATTGTGGGAACTCGGGATTGTGTAAGTTAATAATGAACTCCTCTATCTATCTATCTATCTATCTATCTATCTATCTATCTATCTATCTCCTAATCTCCTATTAGTTCTGTCCCTCTAGGGAACCCTAAAACAGTAGTAATGCAACGACGTGCCTTAAAGGCATGTGTGGAGATTAAATATGGCCACACATTCTTCAGCCATGAAGAGGTGGACTCTATTCCCCACCCTGTGAGGCCAGCCTTGGGCTTGCTTTGTCCAGTAGAATGCGGTGTCCATGTGGGCCCCAGAGCCCGGGCATCAGAATGCCTTGCAGCTTCGCCTTCCTCCTCTTGGAAAGTGCCTGAGACAGCCACGTACAGATGCCGGCTCAGGCTCCAGAAGATGAGAGGCCATGTGGAGGAGAACCGAGGGAGCCCAGCCAGCTCAGTGCCTACCGCCAGGTGTGTGAGGGACCTTCTGGCTGCATGAGCAAGGCCAGACACAGACAGTCCAGGAACAGCTCAGGTGCCCACATAACTGTGAGAACTGATTAATTATTGTTACTTTAAGGCAGTAACTTATTTTCTTTTTACCTCTCAATATTTTCAGTGTGTATTTCCAAAAACAAGAACGTTCTCTTATATAATTCCAGTGCAAAGAATAAAATCAGGGAATTAACACCAACCTTGAACTATTCTTTTATCTGCAGCCCTTTTGAAATTTTCCTGACTGTCCCACCAATGTCCTTGAGGCCTCCAGGCTGCAGCTCACAAGCACACAAGGCCTCTAGCTGTCAGGTGTCTTTGGCCTCTGTGAATCCGGTACAGCTCCTTAGACATTTTTTTTTTTCAGCCTTTCTTTGTCTTTCATGACCTTTCACAATGCTTTAGAGGAGTACCCGCCATTACTCTGTGGAATGTCCCTCATGTTGGGTTTCGGCAGAAACATTAAAGTGATCCTGTGTCCTTGTCCAGAGGCACAAGATGTCGACGTGCTCCATCCACAGTGATGTAGACCTTGCTTGCTTGGTGGAGGTGGTGTCTGCTGGATTTCCCTGCTGGGGGTTACTACTCTTCCGCTTTGAAATGATTATCTTCTTAGAGATATTCTGAGCCTCAGTAACTATCCTATTTCTCATACTTTCGCCCAGGAGTTCTGGCATCCAGGGAAGATTCTTGCCCAAAACAATCATTGCTACACTGGTTGCCAGATGGCGATTTTCTATTTCCACCATTCCTTCTAAGTCCTGGAGTATTTGAGTGGTTTGTCATGAATAAATAGGTAACTGAGGCACACACTGAGCCCTGCAGTAATGTCTCTGCCACTGTGAGTCTACATGACCCCAGATGAGTGAGACGCTTACAGTCACAGAATACTAGGGAGGTGCAGACTCGGCTCAGCCTGGAGAATCACCGCCTCCCCGGCCCCCACCATCACACCTCTACTGCACTCACTGCCCTCGAGGCAGATCTTCATGAGTCCACCCTACAGTCACCTCCCTGCAGTTTTTTCTCAGATTGTGACACTCCTGCCTCTTCCATCCCTAACTTCCCAACTGGTCAAACTTTCCTTGACTCCTACTTCCACCTGTAATCAAACCCACACTCCGTCCCTTGACCTCTGAGGCTTGGGGAACAGGGCTCCTGCCTTCCCCTCCCCACTGCTGGCTTCTCTCCATCCACTGCAGTCACACTGCGCTTCTTGCTGGTCTGGCCTCAGCACCTTGGTTCCCCAGAGCCACC